TACTGTGTTCTGGAGTCACAATTATGACCTGTGATTATCCCTGTAACTCTAGAGGATACATACTGATTATAATATCTTTATACTTAGCATGGAAGTTGTTTCTTTAAAATCTTAATAAAGCGTGGGCTGGAAAGCTGACTCGGCAGTTAGGACCTGGCACTGCCCCTGCAGAGGGACAGAGGGACAGAGGGACAGAGGTCAGCTCCCAGCATTAACATGAGAGCTCACAACCACTTGAACTCCAGCTTCAGGAGACCTTACACCTTGGGCCTCCCAGGGCACCTGCATTCACATTCACACACATTCACACACACACACACACACACACACACGTGCCCACACACATATGCACATAATTAAAAATAAATTTTCTTTAAAATCCTAATAAACAGACATTATTTCTCATTTGTCTTTTCCTGGAGTGTTTGAGAAACAAGTCCCAGTGGTGAAAAGCACAAGCAAACAGACCTGGAGAGAAGGCTCAGTGGCTAAGTGCACTTTCCGTGGAAGCATGAGGGCTGGAGTTCAAATCCCCAGACCCACAGAAAAAGCCTGGTGTGGCCCCTGCTCCTGTAACCACAGCAAATGGGAAGCTAGACAGGAGGCTTGTTGGGGCTGGCTGGCCGCAAAACTAGCTCCAGGTCAGGGAGGGCCCTGTCTCCAGAGAACAAGGCAGACAGTGAGAGAAGAGGACCCTGACACTCTCCTCTGGCTTCCACCCCTGAACACACATGTGCACACACATTCACAAATGAAACACTCATGTCCTAAGTTAAAATATATTTCTTTTCTTTATATCATGTGGGGAAAATACTTTTTACAAACTAAACACTCAAATATTAATTTGATCTTCCTGCTACCATGAGGTATGAGAATGCCCCCCCCCACCTCCACAATCCTCCCTTATTCTCAAAACAAAAACAAAAAGGGGTACTGGGTTCTGGGATATCTACAGATAGAATCTAGTCAGATAAATGAGCGTGGACTTTCACTATCTCATACAAGATCAGGAAGTTTTTTGAATTCCTTTTGCCAAGTGAAACTCTAAAAGTGCAACAGATGTAAATTAAACCCACTTATCAAAACAAAGATTCTCGGACCATCTGCTTACTGCTACGCCAAGGGTCATTTCTGCTGTTCTAATCCAGCACAATTTGTGAATGAATCTAGTGCTTGATTGTCTGGGAGAGGGGGTTGTTTGTTTTGGAGACAGTGTATCACTATACATTCTTGGCTGGTGCTCCTATGTAGACCAGGCTAGCCTCAGATTTACAGAGATCCACTTGCCTCTGCCTCCTGCATGCTAGGACTAAAGGCATGGGCCACCACACCCTGCTTGATAATTTAATTTTATGTTTTGATAGTAAGACTACTTAGATACTTCAGACCAAAGCTGTAACTGCATAAAGAAAAACTCAGAAAGTCCTCTTCAAAGAACTGCTCAGGGAACAGGTACGGTGACGTGGATGGCAGGGGCGTGCTTCTCTCTCTTCCAACTCTATGAACAGCTTCCATCTTGCTTCCTAAAAGTTATACTTCTTTGGGAGGGAGGGGGCAAGACAGGAGTCTCTCTTAGACAAACTGACCTGGAATTTACTATGTAAGCCATCAAACTCACTTGATCTTCTGCCTCTGCCTCCTGAATGCCCGGGTTACAGATGTGAGCCACAATGCCTGGCCATGCTACTTTATTACCGGGAAATGCAGATAAGAATTGGATAAGATACTTTTCCAGCAATTCCTACACGCAATTATTCCAACTAAATAACTAAACTATCTGCAGATCTGCCCATCAGTTTTGACTATGACATATAAGCATTTAAAAATGTAAGTACCCATTTTTCCACTCTTTTGGAAAAGCACACCCATCCCAGACTTTAAATTCCATTTAGAATATGAATTCAAGGGCTGAGGTCAGGATCTAGCACTGTGGTAAAATACTTGCCTCCAGCATGCACAAGGTTCAATCACAATTATTTAAAAAAAAAAAAAGTATGCCTAAGTCTTCTAGTTGTAAAGAAAGAACACTTAACTTGGAGATTCAAAAAGCAATACAGCTCAGCTGAATACCTTGGGAGTTGGAAAGTTCTGTGTTTCACATTTAAGTTTAAAATAATTTAGAGGAAATAAAATTCAAAAGACAGTTCTTGAGTCACACAGCCACATTTCAAACACTCAATTACATGTGCCTCCTGGCTGCAGTATGACAGTCTAGACAGAACCATTTCTATCCCTGGAGAAACTCTATTGGGCGGTATTTGGAACTACTGGTACCTTGATTTCTGTGAACTTAGATGCCCTTGTTTGCAAAATGTACATTTACTATAACTTTAATCAAAATACTCTAATTTTAAGCAAATAATGTATAAAAGGTTAAAATGGTGTTTATTTAAGAAGGAACAAACTGTTATTACACTCTGGAACAGGCATGGTGGTTCATTCCTGGCATCCCAGGACCTAGGAAGCCAAGGCAGGGGGATGGCTCCGAGAAGCCAGTGTGGGATACAGAGTCTCAAAACACCACACAGAAAAAAAAAAAAAAAATTCTAAGTGCAATCCTGCATTTTGTTCTATGACCGTAACCCTGAACCAGTCACTTCCCTTCCCTGTGGATCGTTTTCCTAAGCTGAGAAGTTTGGGAAGTTTCAGGAGCTGAGCAGAAGGGGCACAAAGGTCCATGGAATAAACAACTAGCCAGTTCCTGGTGTCCATCCTCAGCATTCCTCCAGAAGCCCGAGAAGACAGTCTCCAGATAGCCCATGCCCTGATGACTGCTATTTTTAAAGGGCCTTAAAAGATTACCAGCACGTCTTTCTGAAACTGTATATACTATCATTAGATACTGCAAGCCCCCACTCCACAAGATCTCAAAATTTTAATAGACCCTAAAGGAACGCTATCTTGTCAAATGAATGTTTTCTCTCATAAGCATTCAAACCAAAAGGCTTGAAAAGCACATGTGGGTTTAAAAACAATATTAGGACAGCAACTTTTAAAAAACTATTATCAGCTAACTATGCTTCATTTTTAGCCAGGCTGCCGGTGTACCTCTGCCAGGGTCTCAACCAAGTAAGAACTGCTGTGGAGAACTGTACCATCCTGGCCAGAAGCATGCCTCTTTAACAGCTGCTCCTAGGGAGCCAGGAAATGTACTGAAACCAGTCTTTACTGCGTCCAGAGTCAGCCTCCAATGAGGAGTGAACCAACAGCCCCCACAAGTCACAAAACCAGGTCAGAGCTGCTATGGGCTGTGGGGCACAGCTCAAGTTCCCAGGCTAACTTGGAGGTGCTGGAGGGCCGGGAACTCAAATGCGAATAGAGCAGTGAAATCTTGCTCAAAGCCTGAATTTTGTTTTGTTTTGTTGTTTTAAAAGGAATGCTATTCCAGAATGGATTCCTTTTCTTCCGGGTCTGTCTGTTCCTACTGACTCTGCCACAACCACGGTGCCTCCCCTTTCCCAATGCCCCACCTCTTGCCACATTTATAAAAAAGAAGAAAAAAAAAAAGTGGCATATTCCCTCTCCCCTAGCTTTTCCTAGTAAGGCCTGGAAACTGGAGGAAATTCAAATCAAATTAGTTGCACATTAAAAAATAAACAGACAAGCATCAAGGGTGGCTACCCAACAAAGCCCTCACTAGTTCCAAAATATGATTAAGCCGGGGAGGGAAGAGGGGGAGGGGGACTAGCCGGGATGGAGATAAACGTGCGCATTTTTGGCCCCAGCGTCAGCCTCATAGCGGCCAAATTCTACATCTTGTTTAAAGAAAACGCTGGGCCTGAGAGAAAGGAAAATAAAAAGTTGTAACTTTTAAGGAAGTCTGCAATCGGCACTGTCTGGATAAAATGCCAGTGCTTCCTTCGTCTGGGATCGCCGGGTGGGAGCCGAGATTCGAAAAATCTCCAACCCCAGCCGCTCACTCCTGGAAGGCGCCCGGCCAGCGGCGCCGCCCGGCGGCCCAGCCAGGTCTCCCGGGACGCCGGCCGAGTCCCCGGGGCTCCCGCGGCCCGGCGCTGGGGACGCCAGGCGGGCACGGCCCCGGGCCCCGCTTTCTGCGAGGAGTGACAGGCCCTTCCCACGGCAGCTCGTCCCTGCCTGCCATCCGAACCAGACGGTCCCCGCGGCCCGCCCGGCCCGCCCGCCGCCTCGGGGCGCGGATTCCACCCGCTCCGTCTCCCGGCCGCCCCACCCCCGGCAGGGGCGCCCCTCGAGGCTGACCGACTGACCCGCGCTCCGCTGGCCCACACGCACCGGGTCGTCCTCTGCTTCCCGCCGCGCCCCGCTCCCCCGCCCGAGCCTGCAGCCGCCTGGCTCGCCGAGTCCAGCCGCGGCCGCCGGTTCCCGCCCCCAGCCCGGGGGGAGCCCAGGGGGCAGGACGGGGAGGGAGGACGTGGCGCGCAGAGGTGGCCAGCGGCGGGCGGGGAGTGTCCCCAAGAGGCCCGGGCGGGGGCGGGGGCGACCGGTCGCCCAGAGACCCTCCCCGCAAGCAGCCCCGGTCCCGGGTCGCAGCCCGGCGCCCCCGAGGGGGCAGAGGCGTCCCCGACTCCCAGCCCCGCGCGCACGCACGCCCCTCCTCCCTCCACCATATGGAAATCTACAGCCTCCCAAAGTGACACGTCGAAGATTCCTCGGCCTGGCCGCGCGCCCTCCCCCTCCCGGGCAGCGGTCCTGCCGCGGGGATCTGGGCGGGGGAGCGGATTCCTCGGAGCGACGGGCCGGGGAGGAGGGGAGCTCCGCGCCCCGCATCCTCCGCTTTCTTCCCGGGCGAGCGGGGGGCAGGCGGGGCCGCCCCCTCCCCGGCCGGGAGCTCCGGGTAGCCGAGCGGTCGCGGGGCGACCGGGACTCCGCAGCCAAGTTTTCCTCGGGCATCCCGGAGTGCTCCGGGGCCGGGAGCGCACTCGGGCGGACTCGGGGTCCGGCCCGGGCTCCGAAGCGCGGGGACCCCAGTGCGACCGTGGGTGGCACGTCCCCGAGCAGCCCGCCGCGCTCGCACGCCTTACCTCCCCTCGGGCTGAAACGGGGCTCCGGGCGCCCGCGATCCGGGTCGCCCACGCCGTCCCAGCCAGCCGCCCGCGGGATCCCCGCCGCCCCCTGCGCCGCTGCCGCCCCCTGCGCCGCCGCTCGCCGCCGCCGCCGCCGCCGCCGCTCTCCGCCTCCTCCTCGGGCCGCCGCCGCCGCTCAAATAACTACCAGGAGGGTTGGATGGGGGATTCCGCCATGTCAATGATGTCGGGACCACATGGGGATTCGGGGCCCGCCCACTGCCGTACGCCTCCGAGTACACGCGCAGCCACAATGCAAGCTCCTTACAGCCTGGCGAGGCCTCCCTTTCCCGTAAGCCAGGCCTGGCTACACACAAGCTCGTTTTGGTTCAGCCGAATAGAGAAGTCTGAACTGCAGGGAGTTAGGAGACTCTGAACGAGGTGCTGATGGCGGAAACATCACTAGGAATGCAATATTTGCTCAGCAATTATTAAAGCTGACTTGATGGTTTTCACCTATAACACATATTTCCTTTTTCAGTAGTAATCCCCAGAGGAATCTTTCAGTGATTTGTCACTCCTTTAACTTCCCACAGCATTCTGATCATGCGACTAATTAAGCATGGGCAAATTTTGTGATATCAAAATTTAAATGTCTATTTCCCCTTTCGGTACCAGCGAAGCGCCTTTACCCTTAAGAGTAAAGACTGCTTCTTTGTAGTTTTGATTAATACTTAGTTTGGGCATACTTTATTTCTGTTGCATGAGTGAATTTGTGTGTGACTTCAGGTACACATACGTCATGGCTTTTGTGTGGGTAAGAAACTTGAAAGTCAGTTCTGTCTCTTTATGTGGGTTCTGGGGATCCAACTCTGGTTGTCAGGCTTGGAGAGCAAGTCCCTTTGCACTTTACTGAGCTGTCTTGCTGTCCCTAAAGACTGTTTCTGGTTGCTTATCTGGATTTTATGTGTCAAATGCTGTCGATTGTGTATGAATTAAATATGTAATATATTCCTGTTTCACAGGCTCTATCAAAGGTAGAAATAGAAAGAGTTTCTGGAAGCAGAGATATTTACTCAGCTACGCAACTCTCCTTCTCTATTACTTAGGTATTCGGAATAACTCCACCAAGTGTCTACTATTAAACTGCTCTACAAAGACCAAAAAGAATCTATCACTCTCATTAGCTTGAAACATAACAGTAAGTACACTTTATTAAAACCCAAGGAAACATATGAACCCTAAGAAACAGCTCTTTCCCTGATGGAATTTGCTATTCTTTTTTATTTTTAAGATAGTGAAGCCAGGCGGTGGTGGCGCACACCTTTAATCCCAGCACTCGGAGGTAGAGCCAGGCAGATCTCTGTGAGTTCGAGGCCAGCCTGGGCTACAGAGTGAGTTCCAGGAAAGGCACAAAGCTACACAGAGAAACCCTGTCTTGAAAAACCAAAAAGAAAAAAGAAAAACAGTAGTGAGTACAGGGAAGCTGCACCCTCTCTCCTAAGTGACTCCTGTCATGTTGATGTCCCCAAAGGGCGCTTGAATCGATCCTTCTAAAATACAATTCTAGTCCTAGATCTTGGCCCTATCTGGAAGGAAAACACGCTCTAAAAGCTGTGGTTTCCTCAGTGCCCACAGAGCTGAGTTCCAAGGCTTCAGGCGCTGGCCATGCATTCTGAGTTTGGGCCAATGCCTTCTCCCTCTTCCCCTAGCCATGCCTTTCAGCCTAGCTTACCTGCCCTGGCTCCCAAAGACATTCTGACCCTAAACATGCCTTCTTCCTCTTTGTCCAAGGTCATCTTACTCATCCCAGAGTTCCAACCAAAAGCACTTGCTCTTTTCCAGGCTCCAGCCCATAGTTCTTTTCTCCAAAATTATTTTCAGTTCTTACATTGCTCAAAAGTAGTTTCTCTCTTCCACTTGGCTGAGTCATGTTCATTTCTTCTTCTCTATATCAACCTAGAAGTGTCCTTTGAATATAGAACCCCTTTTGTTTGTGGAATATATTGATTACAAAGTGTGTGGGAGAATTTGAAGGACGAGATAAATGGGCAAACTTCAGAGGGAGAAAGGTTAAGTCCGGGAATTAAAGGACATGCTTGGCAAAGGAGGTCAGAGGAGACAGAAAAATTAAGAGGACAGATGTGGCTGCCTGTTTCTCCCGCCAGACTGACTGGATTTCTCTTTATAAAGAAGAGTCAGCACAGCCAGGTGTGGTGACACGTCCCCAGTAACCGAAGCCTCTGGAGGCTCTGTCCAAGGGCAGCCAGAGATAAGGGCTTCTCTCAAACCCCAGCTCTCAAGGAGAATCAACGGATCATGATGCACTAACTTAAAATGCACGTCCATATGGACGCTCTCGGTGTTTTACTCATCTTCTTCCCCCGGCACCTGAGACAAGCTTAATACTAGAGAAGAAACATAGTAAATGCTTGCAAACAGTGAAAAAGAAAAAGCATAGACATCATAACCACACACACACACACGAAGAAACATAGTAAATGCTTGCAAACAGTGAAAAAGAAAAAACATAGACATCATAACCACACACACACACACACACACACACACACACACACACGTTACTAAAGTCCCCTTTGCCTGACTTTTCTTATGAAATTGTACCTTTGTTTCCTGGTAAAATCACAACCTCCAGCACCTGATACTCAACAAATAAATATTAATTCCTCCTTGAATGAGTGAGCAAATGGATGAATGAATGAGTGAATGAATGAAGCTGTCTCTCCTAGAGGTATTAATGAGACAGAAAATTAGAAGCTTCAAAGACAAAGAGGAACTTTTGATCGGGGCTCCTGACTGCAGAGGGACTCAGCCTTCACACAACGGGAAGCCCTGGGGGTCACTGAAGCATGAACTGATGGAAACGGGTCTCAAGGTTGATTGTTTTCACAGCAGGACATAGAACAAAGCTCGAGTCAGAAACATATTCTGAGCCTAGCTGGGAAATGATGAACACTGGACCCAGAGTCATGTTCCTGGAAATGGAAAGAAGGGCCTCAATCTAGAGTGATGATATCCACTACCTGGTGTCAGCAATCCGGACCACCAGCTGCCCTGCGTCCCAAATTATGAAACCATTACGGTTAAGACTCTACTCCCGAAGAGTTTAGGTTTTACTTAAACTCGAAAATAGCATCAAAGGAAGATGCTTCAAAAAGAGTATGACAGAAGACTCCTAACACAAGCCGGGCGGTGGTGGCCACGCCTTTAATCCCAGAACTCAGGAGGCAGAGGCAGGCAGAGCTCTGGGAGTTAAAGACTACAGAGGAAGATGCAGGACACCCAGAGTTACAAAGAGAAACTCTGTCTTGAGAAAATAAAAAAAAAAAATAGGTAACACAGTATAAAGACCGACAAACATTGGGTCACCCATGGAGAGTGTAGGTTGCCCCGCACAGAAGGATGAAAAGTGAGACTTCCGAACTCGACTCACATCGTAACCAAAGGAAGGCAACACTAACTGAGGGTAAACACAAAAGCATGAAGCCTTGCAGCATTGTAGTCCCACCAGTTTGGACCTGGGAGGCTTTGAAGGGCAGATGTGGCTGATGTACCCAGGTTCTACAAGCCCCAGCTGTTGCCCAGCCTCGGCATCCTTCCTCCCAAGGTAGCTGAGGCTACAGCATAGGCAGGCTCAGGCTTGCTCTCATTTTGAAACCTAATCTTAGCTTTAGATGGAAAGCATTAACTCTTCCCACCTACAATTTATTCTTGTGTCCGGAGCCAGACCTGGTGTCTGCTTTTAGATGAGTGGTAACAAAATGCCAATCCGTCCTTTCTGAAGACCATTCAGAATTTACTAGAATACTGACTAAAGGATGGTCAGTTGAGTTCACAGCACAATATAAAAGGAGCACAGCAACTTCAGTGAAACAGATTCTTCCAGAACAATTCAGCTGGGTAAAGCTGTGGTTCTGCCTTCTCTACTATTGCTCAAGGCAAAACACGGACAAATTTTAGACAAATGTTTAAAAATAAGAAGGACCAAAACATCTCCAATAAGATCTGCCACCCAGTTATCAGAATGATTAAGGAAGAAGCAAAATGGTTGTCAAGCCTTGTGATTTTGAGCCCAAGGTTAGCACACATACAGGAGAGACGAATCTCCAGTGTCACTCCTCAGGAGCTGCCCTATTGTTTTAGGACAAGTTCTCTTTGGCCTAGAACTTTCCAAGTAGGCTAGGCTGGCAGGTCAAGAAGTTCTAGGGATCCTCCTGTTTCTTCCTTCCCTAAACTAGGATCACAAGTATATGGCATCACATACATCTCTCTGTGTGGGCACCGGAGATCAAAGCCAGGTTTGCACAAACGTGGCAGGGACTTTACCAAATGAGGTGTCTCCCCAGCCCTCAGGTCTTACTCTGCTCCCAAAGCAGCATCTTTTCATCCACATCCTGAGACCTGAGAAGTCAACCTAGACCAAAGACCACCAAAGAAAAGGAAAGTGCTTGCTGTGACGGCAACTCCCTTCATCAGCCCCAGCTCCAAACCAAGGCTGAACTGCCTCTTTGCGGTGCTGCGCTGCCTCTGCCCCGGGGACAGAAAACTGACAATGCCCACCTTTCACCCACCTGAAGAGTCTAGTCTCCTGAAGAAATGTCTGCGACACACAGCCGTCTTTAAGGACGTCCTACTGCTCTGGGGACCCACTTGTTCATCTCTGAGAGCCAGGGATCCAGTTTCTGATCTAGTGTTTCAGGCATGATCAGAATACAATCACAGTGGTTCCTGTTCTGGCCCCAATGTGGACAAAATATGATGTTAACTTTGTTAGTAAATTTCTCGTCCCATTAACTCATGCTTTTGTGCCACAAAAACATGTCAAGATGCACACTGTATATTCAACTGATACAATCTTAAAATTAGCTTGTTAATTGATGGGATACTTAATTTTATTAAATTTTATTTATGTTGCATCCTCCCATTTCAGCTAATTAAGACTTTTGGAGTCCTGCCACGTAATGGTTCGCATTAGCTGTCAACTTGACAGAATCACCGGAGAGATGGGCCTCCTGGGCACATCTGTAGGTGATTATCGTGATTATGTTAATTAATTGACTTGGGAAGACCCATCTTAACTGTGGGTGGGACCATTTCCTGGGCAGGG